GATAAATAAAATGGATAGATCATTAGTGAGATTAGCCAAGAAAAGAAGATCCACATATGCACAATTAGAAATGAAATGAAATGATAGATTTTACAGCTGATACCACAGAAATACAAAAGATCGTTGAAAGCTATTATGAACATCTTTATGCATATAAGCTAGAAAATCTGGAGTCAATGGATAAATTCCTGGAAACATACAACCCTCCTAGATTAAACTATGAAGATATGGAAACTCTGAACAGATCAATAAAAAGCAGTAATATTCAGATGATAATAAAAAAAAATGCCAACACAAAAAAGTGCAGGACCAGGTGGATTCAGAGCTGAATTCTATCAGACAGCCAAAGAATGTCTGGTACAAATCTTACTGAGATTATTCTAAAAAATAGACAGAGAGGGAATCCTCCCTAAATCATTCTACAAAGCCAGTATCACCCTAATACCCTAAACAGGAAAGGACATAACAAAAAAAGGAAACTGTAGACCAATATCTCTGATGAACATAGATTCCAAAATCCTTAACAAAATACTAGCAGCTAATCAAATGCAACAGCATAGCAAAAAGGTAATCCACCATGATTAAGTGGGTTTAATGCCAGGGATACAGGGATGGTTTTAACATATGCATGTCAATAAATATGATACATAACAGAAACAGAGTTTTTAAAAATCACATGATCATCTCAATAGATGCAGAAAAAGCATTTGAGAAAATCCAGCATCCCTTTATGATTAGAGCCCTTAGCAAAATTGGAAATAGAAGGGATATACCTTAAGGTAATAACAGCCATCTATGACAGACCTGGAGTCAACATTATGCTGAATGGGGAAAGGTTGAAAACATTTCCTCTAGAAACTGGGACAAGACAAGGATGCCCACTGTCACCACTTATATTCAGCATATTACTGGAAGTCCCAGCCAGTGCAATCAGACAAGAGAAAAAAATAAAGGGCATTCAAATCAGTAAAGAAGAAGTCAAACTGTCACTGTTTGCCCTTGATATAATTGTATAACTAGAAAACCATATATACTCATTCGGAAAGCTCCTAGAACTGAACAAATGAATTCAGCAGTTTTATAATACAAAATAAATGTACCCAAATCAGTATCTCTGCTATACACCAACAGCATCCAAGCTGAGGCTCAAATCAAGAACTCAACCTCTTTTACAATAGCTGCAAAAAAAGATACCTGGGAATACATCTAACCAAGGAGGTGAAAGACCTCTGCAAGGAAAGCCACAAACACTGCTGAGGGGAATCATAGATGACATAAACAAATGGAAACACATCCCATGATCATGGATGGTAGAATCAATATTGTAAAAATGACCATATTACCAAAAGCAACCTACAAATTCAACAAATTCCCATCAAAATACCACCATCATTCTTCACAGAACAAGAAACAACAATCCTAAAATTTATAAAGAACCAAAAAGAGACCACATAGCTAAAGCAAGACTAAGCAAAATGAACAAATCTAGAAGCATCACATTACCCAACTTCAAAGTATTCTATAAGGCCATGATCACCAAAACAGCATGGTACTGTATGAAAATAGGCATGTAGACTCATGGAACAGAATAGAAAACCCCAGAATAAAGCCAAATACCTACAGCCAAATGATCTTTGACAAAGCAAACAAAAACAAAATGGGGAAAGGACACCGTCTTCAACAAGTGGTGCTGGGATAATTGGCAAGCCACATGTAGAAGAGTAAAACTGGAACCTCATCTCTCACCTTATACAAAAATCAACTCAAGATGGATCAAAGACTTAAATGTAAAACCCAAAACCATAAAAATTTTATGCATTGGCTTAGGCAAAGACTAAATCACCAAGAGCCCAAAAGCAAATGCAACAAAAAGAAAGATAAATTGTTGGGACTTAAACAAACTTTAGTCTGGACACAAAATAAACAATCAGCAGAATAAGCAGACAACCCATAGCATGAGAGAAAACCTTCACAATCTATGCATGTGACAAACCTATACTTCACAACCTATGCATTGGAGAAAAATCTTCACAACCTCTACATATACTAATATCCAGAATCTACAAGGAACACAAACAAATCAGCTAAGGACAAGAATAGACAATTCTCAAAAGAAGATATACAAATAGCTAACAAATGTATGAAAAATTGCTCAATCTTTCTAAAAATCAGGGAAATGGAAATCAAAATCACAATTCAATACCATCTTACTCCTGCAACAATGGCCATAATTTAAAAATCAAAAAATCATAGATTTGCATCGATATAGTGAAAAGGGAACACTTTTACATTGCTTGTATGAATGTAAACTAGCACAACCCAAGGAATCTCCAAAGAATGTGGAGATTCCTTAAACAACTAAAAGTATATCTATCATTTGATCCAGCAATCCCACTCTTGGGTATGTATCCAGAGGAAAGGATGTCATTACACGAAAATACTTGCACAGGTATGTATATAGCAGCACAATTCACAATTGCAAAAATGTGGAACCTGCTCAAATGCCCATTAATCAATGAGTGGATAAAGAAAATGTGGTATATATATACACCAAGGAATATTACTACTCGGCCATAAAAAGGAATGAATTAATGGCATTCACACAACCTGGATGAATTTATAGACCATTATTCAAGTAAAGTAACACAGAAATGGAAAACTAAACATTGTATGTTCTTACTAATAGGAGCTAAGCTATGAGGACTCAAAAGCGTAAGGATAATTCAATAGACTTTGGGGACTTGGGGGAAAGTGTGGAAGGGGAGTGAGGGATAAGAGACTATACATTGGATAAAGTGTACATTGCTTGGGTGATGGGTGCACCAAATATCTGAAATCCCCACTAAAGTACTTTTTCATGTAACCAAACACCACCTGTTCCCCCAAAACCTATTGAAATAATAATTAAAAAGTTAATTATCTGAGATTAAATAGCTAATAAAGATTACAAAATAAAGAAAAGTAAAGCATTTTCAGTCATCAAGTTGTTTTCAAAAGGATTATGTTGCATGGAATTACAGTATTCTATAATATGGTTGTGGAATATATTTGTTTAAGAATTAAACGAGAGCAAAAAGTACACCAAACTGGAAGTTTATTCTGAAATTTATTGTAGAATGCAGGAGAAGCGATCCTCAAAAGCAGTCAGATGATGTAATGTCACTTGATTACCCTAGCCCAATGAAGGCTTAGGCAGACAAAAATACAGGCCTAGAGTTGTAGGACATATGCTATGTTGTACTACATATATTAATCAGTCAAAAACTCAGAAATAGTTTTTGACTGATTAATATATACAATACAAACATAGCATATTTAAAATGAAATTAACATTTATTTTTTAATAACTGAATCTAAGCCTAACCCCTTATCTTTCTGAGTTATGGACACACTTTCTCAGTCATTACTGGGACTTCCTCTTCTCAGGTATATAATGTTTTCATAGTCCAATGCAGTGTCAAAATTCCATCTTTCTTTAAGGCTTATTAAGGTACACTGCTCATTGTTCCAGCCTACAAGGGTTCCTCTAATTTTTAAAAATTACCTTTAAGGATTAGAACTTGTCAGTAACGGTTAGAGCTCACTGGGTGCCAGTTCTTTAGGTGTATAATAGAATCCTTTCTTCAGAGTTTTACCAATCTTCCAACCTATTACTCTCAGATATGTAGGGATGAAATTTCCCCTCCAGTGCCAACTTTATTTTAGTCTCTGGGAAATATCTTCTCTGATTTTTATTCTCTTTCACAGCGTAATAGTTTTAATAAAATAGGCTATTAAAATACAAAGAAACCACTCTTTTTAATTGTTTATATTTCATTGAACAAAAATTTCTAAGACAAGGAAGTATTAAGGTCCCAAATACCTGCTTACACTAGAGTGAAAAGAAAATTATATAAAATTCAATGTATATATTTAAATACATAAATGGATGAACAAATGAATGAATGAGAAGTTACTAAATTATGAATACCAAAGATTTCTACATTGTGCTATGTTTCAAATATTACATACATTGTCTTAGTTTGTCTCACAACAATTCTGAGGTGTAGAAATTATTTCATTTTTTTAAGATAAATTATCCAAATCAGTATGACTTTCCCAGGGCCATATTTGTACAAAATAACAGGCCTGTGTAGTTTTGATCTTAAGGTAAATGCTTGTTCTGCCAAACATGATGGCTACCATACAATGAAGTAACCATTAGGGAAAAAGGAAATTGAATGTCAATCCAAGGGACTTTAGTATATAAAAATCTATTTTGAGCATTCAAAGAATAGAGATGGTTGACTCTGTAATAAAAAAAAAAGAAAAAGACTCTAGCTTTCTAATTAATACATGTAACACTTGTTTTGTCAATGGTGGCAAGAGAAAATACCAAGTGAAATAAGGATGAGAAAATACCAAGTGAAACAAGGATGAGAAATACCTGGAAATCAGAACAAAGTTGCACAGTTACACCTTTTAGAAGAGTGATATGAGCCGGGCGCGGTGGCTCAAGCCTGTAATCCCAGCACTTTGGGAGGCCGAGGCGGGTGGATCACAAGGTCAAGAGATCGAGACCATCCTGGTCAACACGGTGAAACCCC